TATCTATTTTATGTTCTGGTTATCTTTTTGAACTCTTTCTGATATTTATATTTTAACACCATATGATCTAACTACTACCCACTATGTAATCTAACTACCAGCATGTGATCTAAATACTGCTATTTCCTTCTTGTTCCTAATCTATTTATATGTCAAATTCTATATTGTTCATACTGGCTTTCTATACCTGTTTGGATATCTGGTTCTATGTTGGGGTGCTGGCCCTCTGTGCCAGTCTGGGTACTTGATTCTATATCGAGGTACTTATCTTTTGTGCCTATTTTGTTGCCTGTCAAATACAAAAAAATATTGCATTGGGTGGTGCTTAAATTCATGGTTAATTTTGGCCAACACTATGCCATAATTCTGGCTGATCTTTTTGGCATATAATTTAGGGTTCCAGCTTGGTGCTATAATAATACCATGGTAGTGTCATGTAACTGTCATAGAACTATTAAGGTGCCAGAGGTTTCTATTAGTTTGCTAGTTTTATATCACTTCTATGCTAGCTTGGATGCCAAGTTATTTTGCGACTGAAATTATGGAATAGTGCTAGTTGAAATTATCATAATTTACTGTGCTATAAGCCCAGGTACTTACCTACCCTAAGTATCCATATATACCCGAGTACATATCTAGATGAAGCCTTCTGCCACAATATTTTATATAATGATTCTGCAGAAGGCTTCATACCATACCTGAGTATATATCTAGAAAAGATGGGGTTTCTTTTAATATTTTATATAATGATTCTGAAGAAGCCCCATACCTGAGTACATTTCTAGGAAAGTGTAGTTTTCTTTTATTATTTTATATATAGATTCCGAAGAAGGCTATACCATATTCGAGTACATATCCAGAAAAAGTGGGGCCTTCTGCCATTTTTATATAATATAATTACGCAGAAGGCTCCATTTTCAGATACTCATCTGGATCCCTTCAGCTGAGATTATGCTATAATTCTGGCTAATCTTTAAAATACATGATTTGAGGATTCCAACTTGGCACCATAGTAGTAGACTGATAGTATCTAGAACTATTATGGCGCTAGCAGAAAACTGGTAGAGAACCAAAAAGGTTCTATTAGTTCTCCAGTTTCAGACTACTTATATGCCGGCTTGGATATCAAGTTCTTTTGCCCAAAGTTCTGACTAGGTACATACTTTTAAGATGAAGCTATCTGCTGATAAATATATATATATATTTATATTTCTCTAGAAATATCGGCAGAAGGCTTCATATACCATACAATCTAACTACTACCCATTATTTATATAATAAATACACAAAAGCCTACACTTTTAGATGCATAT